CACAACTTATATGAACTAGATTCCCTTTTATGCAATGGTAATGATCTGAATAGGAGCTGCCTTGTTGCAGTACCTCTACCTCTCCACATACAGTTACTCAACCTAGGATGGCAGTAGTGTGCACAATCACTTTGAAGTGCTGTATTACACAGGAAGACAGTTATAATCAGGCAGGTTTTACTTGCGATTAGGAGGGTTTACTTCCACTGGATATAACCAGATCAGAGGCGCAACAAGAGTCCAGGAATGAAGGGGTAGATCCCACAGGACCGTTTGTCCAGAATATGCAAGGTACTTCCGACTTGTTCCACGAGGCTGTTTCTTAGGAGGAAGGTCCTTGCAGTGGTGGTTCGCTGGCGAGTTGCAATGGCTCGGCGTTAGCAATACTAGAACGCCGAGGCATTGCAACTCGTTTCCTTATAAGGGGATCGGTCTATTGAGGTGGGCGGAGTCACGAGCGGCGGCCGCGTCTCCTAGTGACGTCATGCCGCTGTATCGAGAGGCCGGCCCGCGGCCCGAAATGTCTGATACGAGAGGTACCCTTACACCTCTGTACAGTACATCACACCGCTGACCTCTGTACTGTGTGTCACAACGCTGAACGTTGTACTATGCGTTACATTACTCAACTTTGTACTTTTTGTCACACCGCTGACCTCTGTACTGTGCATCACAATGCTGAACTCTGTACTAAGCGTTACATTACTCAGCTTTGTACTTAATGTAACACCGCTGACCTCTGTACTCTGTGTTACACTTCTGACCTTTGTCCTCTGCGTCACACCACTGACCTCTTTACTCTGCATCACACCACTGACTTCTGTACTCTATGTTACACCACTGACCTCTGTACTGTCTGTTACACAACAGGCCCCTGCACTCTGCATTACACTACTGACCTCTGCATTACTATTGACATTAGGCCACTACCCTGGAGAAACACAGAGTATAAAGCTTCATATTATTCTGCATTGCTGTATAATGTATTGCTGGGATTTGTAGTCCTCTATAGCTGATGGTATTCTGCATTGCTGTATAATGTATTTCTGGGATTTGTAGTCCACTATAGCTGGTGGTATTCTGCATTGCTGTATAATGTATTGCTGCGTAATGAGAGATTTTACTTTATACCCATATACCCTTTATACCCATCAAATAGAAAGTAAGTATTTTCCTTTCAATCCTGTTCTGTAGGACACCAACCAAACAGACAGGAATTGTAAATGAGAAATTTACCAAATAGGAAGAAAAAGATAGCAATAAAAGCCCAACAGATTCTAGCAGGATTATTCATAAAAGAGTGAAGAGTTTGGAGAAGGCAGGAGAAGTGAACAATTTAGGCCAAAATAGCTGATTTGGAAAAATTCTCCAATTCAGCTCACTTTCCAGTTCAGCTATGTTGTCCTAGATTGTTCACTTCTCCGGCCTTCTCCAGACCCTTCACCCTTTTGTGAATAACCCTGATAATCTTCCTTCGCTGTTTAAAATGAACAACCAGAAAGGCAGAAGTAAGTCCACAAAAATAGGAAGATTCCATCTAATTAACGAATCTTCCAGCTCTGCATAATGGTTTGTAAACAAACCTGTAATCAGAAATAACTGAGTGCAAAGAACTAGTGCAATAAAGTTACTTAAGCAATAAAACACAATGGACAATGAGTAATGCTTATCTGTTGTCAAAAATAATAGTCTTCTGTAAAGCTTAATGATGGTCTTAGAATGTTATTCTTTAGAAAAATATCTAGGAGCAGGTGGGGTGGAAGATATTGATATATTTTTTAGAATTTTGATGTACAAGATGTTTGATGGTGATGGCAACATCAGCAATCAACTTTTTACTGTAAACTCCATAACAAGGCTCAGGGGCGGACTGGGCCGGGGGGCAGGGTGGCAATTGCCCCCCGGGCCTCTCCGATGCCGTAGCGTACGGCCCCCGTGACACCGACGATGGAAAAGGTTGTCAGCGTTTTCCATCATCGATTCGTCAGCTAAAATTAAAATTTCCTGTCCGCCGCTCAATGGGCCTCTAGGTTGTACTTGCCCCCTGGGCTAAAAGTTGCCAGTCAGCCCCTGACAAGGCTAGAGGTCACCATCTAAAACTAGTGGAGAAAAGATTTATCCACAAAGGGCATAGGGACTTCTTCTCAATCAGAGTGGTTAGATTTTGGAACTCTCTGTCACAAGCACTGGTATCAACTGAGAGTATTGAATCATTCAAAAATCAATTAGATACCTTCTTCAGAGACAGAAACATACAGGGGTACAGGTACTCTTAAAAACTAGATCACAGAGGGGGTAACTACATCCTAGGAGCCTTCTTTTGTCTAGGGCTGATTGAATGTACCTTTTATGTTATGTATGTTATTGTACTTGAGTTATGTGGACTCTGTATCTTTACAAAACGAAAAACTTAATAAAAATATTTTTAAAGTAAAAAACTAGATCACACGGGGACTCGTATACACGCATACACATGCACAGTCACACACAGACACACAAAGGTTGAACTTGATGGACCTGTGTCTTTATTCAACCTCAAATACTATGTAGCTATGTATAATGTCTGGAGGTGGGCTTTAAAATTAAGAGTCGTAAGACTGAATTCTAGAACGAGCCCAGTCACAAATTCTCCTTTCCAAGTTCCGGTCTCAGCAGTAAATCCTAAAAGCCACCAGGACAAGGTACAAGGCTGGCACTCGTAGTGCCATAAAAGCAGAAATAGATTCCTGAACTCTAATCTGATTCATCAAAACTTTCTTTTTCCTCTGAACTAATCAAGAACAAATTTAGAATACTCCTCTTTTTTTTTAGTACAGTAAATTATTCTGTAACGTCAAGAGAAGAACAAGTATTACGTATTCAAGGTGTGTCCCCATATATTTACAGCGACCATGCCTCTCAACAAGTCAGAAGCAGAGCTTGCTGCAGGCACAGTGTCACATCGCAGAGCTACAGCAATACCCAGCTCATCTGGTAAGTGAAATCACGTCTTCTGCACTCACCCCGAGCTTCTCTACTATGGAGATGGACATTTTACAATATGTTTAAATGTAATTTTAGTAATAACTACATAGATACATATATACTGTGATAGATAGATAGATAGATAGATAGATAGATAGATAGATAGATAGATAGATAGATAGATAGATAGATAGATAGATAGATAGATATTTAGCATAGATAGATTTGGGATAGATAGATATTTAGCATAGATAGATTTGGGATAGATAGATATTTAGCATAGATAGATTTGGGATAGATATTAGATAGACAGATGTATAGATAGATAGATAGATAGATAGATAGATAGATAGATAGATAGATAGATAGATAGATAGATAGATATTAGATAGATACATAGATAGATAGATAGATAGATAGATAGATAGATAGATAGATAGATAGATAGTCTGTCTACTTTAACAATTATTTTTTGTACTTAATTAGAAATATCGGTCATATTTGGTATCTTTGTATGATTATGTCACAGTTATGCTTGCTGTGTTTTTTTTCTATTCAAGCCTGATTATGACTGAAATTATGACAACGATGACATAAATCATATAAACACATTGTAGATCTTATATTTAAAAAAAAAAAATAAGACTTCAATTTCATTTTCTTAATTTTAAATACGAATTTTTTCGGGCTGCAAGAAAATTAAAGTGAAGAAGTCATGTGATTATTAGAGAGCACAAGCTGCACGCTCAGCAAAACCAGCCAAACATTTCCCAACCTGTCTGATTGTTTCACGATTCAACCTAAAACATTATAGTCATTAAAAGTTTCTGCAAGTTTTCCGTCTTTATGGATCAGACCGGAATTATGGTTGTCGAATGATCAGAACAGGATGAGTTCATTTTCTTTCTTTTTTTTGACTGATCATTATTTAATTTTGTGCAAGTGATGCAAATCTTATATAAAGCACATAATGAGGAAAAGAGGAGAAGGGTGGGTTGGCTGGAGAGATTTCCCAGCATGCAGAAGAAAAATTAATCCAAGTTTTTTTCAATCCTTTGCAGTCCCCAGGTGGCAATTCTGGAAATTGTTGTTCAATAGAGTGATGTTGCTCGGAGTCTAATCAAGCAAATGTGTCACCGTTTTGTTTTGTTTTTAATTTCAAACTGAATCATACCTTTCTATACCAAATTTTTTTTTATAGGAAATGGTTTATAAAAAATTAATTTGCAGGAAATTTGTGCGCCCATGTCTGTAAAAAATAACATGCACATTAAAAAAAAGTCACCAGCTTTTTTGTACTTAGTATTCTATAGGCACTGAAAATCTCAATAGATGGGTTTTGTTGATTACGGCCTTAATGATCTCAATTGAATAAGCAAATTTAAAATAGAAACATTTTTTTAAAGCAAGTCTAAAAGGTTAGTACCCTCTAACAGGTTCCTATTACCCTCTGACAGGTTCTTATTACCCTCTGACAGGTTCCTATTACCCTCTGACAGGTTCCTATTACCCTCTGACAGGTTCTCATTACCCTCTGAAAGGCTCTTTTTAAAAAATCTACACAAAAAGAGAACAAATTCTACCTTTTAGAGTTGTCTCCAGAACAGGTGTCCCCATAAGTAGATTTTGTCTCTACTCTTCTTTAAGGGACTACTGTAAAATATTAAATTCCCCTTGTCACCAGGACAGGGCGCGAGGGCTGAGTTGGCTCTATGGCTAGAGGTGAACCTAGAGTTGGGTCTAAATTTAAGAGCTAGACCTAGAGTTGGGTCTAAATTTAAAAACTGGACCTAGAGTTGGGTCTAAATTTAATAGCTGGACCTAGAGTTGGGTCTAAATTTAAGAGCTGGACCTAGAGTTGGGTCTAAATTTAAGAGCTGGACCTAGAGTTGGGTCTAAATTTAAGAGCTGGACCTAGAGATGACCTAGAGATGAACCTGAATGTAAGTGCATAAAATAAGATACAACACAGCCAATTCTGTACATTTTATGACAAGTCTTGAATTATTATTTTTTTCTTTCAGGCGCGCTGCTGAAGGCTACCTAAGCTCTGGTCGCTCCTTGAACCAAAAATGGCTGACATAGAAAAAGATGAACGACCCTGGGTCGGCGTACTTCGTAGGATAGTGACTTTTTCATTTGCCCTTTTAGTGCTGGCAGCAGTTATGTGGGCATTTGTTGATAGTATCCCCTTGGCCAGTGACGAGTATAAAATCATAGCCTTCGGAATTTACGGGGCGTTCTTAACGGTGCACCTCATAATCCAAAGTCTCTTTGCCTTCTTGGAACACCGGAATATGAGGAGAGGTGGCTTGCCTTGCTCTTACACCAAAAGCGTGGCCTTGACCATCTCTGCTTACCAAGAAGACCCAATCTACCTTCGTGAATGCCTTGAATCTGTCAAGAACACACAGTACCCTCCCGATAAGTTGAAAATCATTATGGTTATTGATGGCAACAGCCCTGAAGACCAATACATGATGGACATGTTTAAGGAGGTTTTCGCCAGTGAGGATGTTGGGACATATGTTTGGCAAAACAACTACCACCACTGGGACAACAATAGAGCTGAGAAGTTTTACAGTAATGAGAGTGCATACGACACCCAAATAAACACCAACATCCAGTGGATTGACCCTCAGCAACCAGGACAGAACCTTATTTATGAAAGAGTTGATGAGTTGCAATACCAAGGGGATACGAATTATGACAACATGGTAAATCAGAGGCAAGCTGCTCAAGCCCTAGAGATGAGGGATCGTATAAGACACCTCTCCGGTGACCAGCTAGAAGAGGAACCATTGCCTGCGTATACAGATATTGAAATGGAGGACCCTACCAGAGAAGAAATCGAGACTATCATCAAGCAACACAGATGCGTCTGCATCATGCAGAAGTGGGGTGGAAAGAGAGAAGTTATGTATACCCCCTTTAAAGCTCTCGGAGACAGTGTGGACTATGTCCAGGTAAGGAAAACCTAACAAGCATTCACGGGTAGCTATATGGAAAGTATATGGGGGAGTTATATGGGAAATATTCAATCTAAATCACTGTTCCTCAACTGCAGTCCTACTGAGTTTTTAAGATGAAAGTTAAAGGATGAATTTAAATAATCCC